CACCATCATGATCATCACCCTCATCACCTTCATCATCATCACCACCATCATCACCCTTATCACTATCATTACCATCATCATCAATATCACCACCATCAGTATCACCATCACCACATTCATCATCCCTATTATCGTCACCATCACCATCGTCATCACCATCTCCACCATCACCATCACCACCATCACCATCATCACCTTCATCACCATCACCATCATCATTACCAACACCACTACTGTCATCTCTCCACATACCTGCCATGATGTCTTGCTGCCATGTCAAGGGTCAGGTGATTGGAGACTGATGGATTAGGGTCTTCCTGTTTTGGGGAACCACAGCCTGCTCCTCCAGGCAGATAGCTGGGTCTGGGAGAGGTGGTGGCACTGACATCCGTTCCTGGAGGTGAGGGGGACAGGAAAGGCTGTGTCTTTCCTTGGGAGAATGAGCCCCACGTGCAGCACTTTTGGCTCTGCAGATGTGATGCTTGTTGCCATGGTGACTGTCCTAACAATAACCTCCCAGAACTGATATTCCCCACACCCGCCCCAGCTGCCACCTGGGAGGGAGAGCCCTCCTTGCTGATGAAAGCCAGCTAGAGAGGATAAGGTGGGAGGCAGAGATGATGTGGGGGTGCGGGTGGAAGAGGGCCCTTCCTGAAGGAGGGTTGGGGGGACGGAGCCAGATGACAGGGCTTCTGGGGCCTGGGACTCCAGAAAGAGTCATGGCTGGCAGCCCTTCTCCCTTCCAGCTTTCTACTCTGCTGGGGAGGAGTTCTTGGAGTCTGGAGGTGGAGAGTAGGTTGTTCTGTGAGTGGGGTGCAGGAGCAGTGTGGGTCCCCTCAGTAGCTCGGGCTGCCCTGCTGGCCTTCCTCTGATTCCTTCTACATCATACCTTGAACATTCCAGCCCAGACGAGGGGCTGCTTGGGCGAACCTCAGTTCCCGACAAGAGTAGAACAAGGGCCTTAAATCAAACCCTTTAGTGATCCTGACTTCTTGGGGAAACTTGGTCTTGGGCAGCCTCCCCAAGCAGAGAAAAGAGGGACTTCAACACAGGCCACCCAGAATGCTGCTCTGTCCTTGCCAAGGGCTGCAGGAAGTGTGTGTGTGTGTGTGTGTGTGTGTGTGTGTGTGTGTATGTATTCTCTGTGTGTGTGCGTGCCCACATGTGCATGCATGGGTGTGAAAATAAACAAGACAAGGGAGGGTCTCTGGGCAGGGGGGTTGGAGTCCCAGCCACCTCTTGGCCATGTGACTTTACTTCTGTCTCTCCATTGTCCCATCTAGTGAAATGGGGAGAATAATAGTATATGCCTTGTGGGGTTGAGAATTAAATGAGGTAGTACACGTAAAATGCAAGTAAGCAAATCCATGCCAGCTGTCTCCATGATTCTGATGCCACTTTATCCTGGCCTGGACTCATCCTGGCAGGAGTGTGTTTGACCTTGGAAGCACACAGGGTCTAGCTGCAGCCTCAGGAGGGGCGGACTGGCCGAGAGGTGCAATTTCGTTTTGTTTGTTTTGCTAATTTATTCTATTGTGAGGGACTCTCCGAAGGATGCGGATGGCCCAGCAGCCCGTGAGGTTGAACACCACGGCGCCTGCTGCCCCAGGTGGGTGGCCATCTGCCTGTTACCAGAAGCCAGGCGTGCTCCGTCCTGGTTTGAGGCATGAGAGGGGTCTCCCCCCTGGCCTGGCACCGCTGAGGTCAAGGTCAGACCCTCCTTCTCTATGGGTGCCCCTGCTCCAAGCCAGCGTAGTCCTCAGCCTCTGGTCACCTCCTGGGTGCCCATCGCTTCTGCAAAACCAGCCAGAACCAGAACTGGTTGCCACCGCTCTGCTCCCCTGCCTGACAGCCTGGTGCCGGAGGCCCCGGGGTCGGGGAGGCCCCGGCCGCCCCACCCCAGAGCGCCTTCATTTGACCTTTGGCTCAAGAGGCACTTGCTGTGGCTTCTGGGGTGAGCCACAGACCAAGGTGACCGAGATGTGCAGGTCAGGCCCACACCCTACGCCTGGGGAGCCCATGGTACAGTAAGTAGCTCACATCAGGGCCACTGCACGACCTAAATCAGGAGCTGGCTGCTGGAAACGTCTGTCCTCAGGGCCTGCCCAGGACAGACCCCGGCCCTGTCTCCTCAGAAGAGTGTGGTTGCCAGAGCCCAGGGAGTCCTCTGCCAGCTCTCAAGTCCTGCTTCTAGATGGCAGCCTGGGTGTGGCCCTAGGGGAAGGCTCTTTTGTGGGAAATGGGGTCAGCCCAGCCTCTCCTGCCCCTCCTTCCTGCTCTCTCCTCCTCCTCTGCTCCAGGGTCACTTTCAAGATGGACCCTCTTCTAGGCCAGAGCAGGGGCAGGCAGGTGGACTAGGCCTGAGAGGAGAGAACGTGTCCCCCTAGCGGGGCACAGGGCTGGGCATTGGGACTTCTGACTTACCGTAGCTGGAGCAGGCCTGTTCCCCTGACTCAGGGGCTCTCTGCCTTTCCGCCTGCACAGGGGCACCCCAGCGCGGAGTGTTCAGGGATCCAGGGAGAGGGCCCTGGGACCATGGGGAACAGGCCGTCCCCACCCTCTCATCCTGCTACCCACTGTCTCCAGTGTGTATACTGGTCTGGAAGGTCCCTGGGCAACTCTGCCAGGGGGGACAAGGCTGTGCAGTGTGAGGAGTACTGGAGACAGGACAGGAGGGTCCCGGCTGCATCTCCTCCTGGTGGTGTGAGGAATGTCCTCTGGAGGGTGACAAACGTGCCCCATCCACCCATGTGTGCCTGAGTGTCCTCTTGCGGTTGGGGTGAGGTGGGCATTCAGGGGACTGGGGGCGGGGTTCATTGTGTGCAGTCCCCTGTGCCCAAGGGGTCTCCAGCAGGGAACAGAGAAATTGACTTAGGTGGCTTCTGGTGCCTGGGTGTGTGTGCGTGCGTTCGCCCAGGCACGGGTGCGGGTCCCGGCACAGTGTGAGCAGGGAGAGGACCTGGGTGCAGGACACGTGTGTGGGCGCGTTTTCGGGAGTGGTGCAGGTGATGTGACCCGTGTGTGTGTCAGCGTAGGGTGCGGGTGCGTGTGCAGGGCGAGGGCGCGTGTGCGGGTGCAGGGTAGGGGTGCAGGAGTCGTGCGGGTGCGTGTGCAGGGCGCGGGAGCGGTGCGGGTGCAGGGCGCGTGCAGGGCGCGTGCAGGGACGGCGGGCGCGGCGGCGGCGGCGGCGGCGGCGGCGACAGCCGAGCCCGCGTTCCCCGCGCGTAGGTGTGCGGCGCGCTCCTGGCGGGGACGGAGCGCGCAGATCTCGCGTGCGCTCGCCGCCCGGCGCAGCCCAGCCCGGCCCCCGCCCGGCGCCACGAGCCGAGGTGTCGCCTGCGCCCGCGCCCGTGTCGCCGCCGTGCCCGCGAGCGGGAGCCGGAGTCGCCGCCGCCCGAGCGCAGCAGAGCGCACGCCGAGCCCGTCTGTCGCCGCCATGGCCACCACGGTGACCTGTACCCGCTTCACCGACGAGTACCAGCTCTACGAGGATATTGGCAAGTAAGAGCCGCGGCGCGTGCGGGCCGGGCGGGGACCCGGGAGGGCGCCGCGCGCGGAGGGCTGGGACCCCGGAGACCAAGACCCTCCGCGACGCTGGTTCCGGGCGCACTGCGGCCCCGCGCGCCCCCGGCTCCTCCGGGCTCGGGGCCCGAAGCGCACGGCCCCGCGCGGCCCCGACCCCCGGGCCCTGGGCCAGGCTGCTGGACCTCGGCGCGCGCAGCTCTGCCCGGCCCTGTTCAGCGTGGCCGCCGGGCCAGAGGCCGGGACTCGGGACTCGGGGCTCGGCGCCGCGGGGGCGGCAGCAGGTGTCCCCGGAGCGCCGGGCAGACGTGACGCATTTGGCGGCGGGAGGTCAGAAAGGAGCGGCGCGCGGGGGCGGCCGCGGGGCCTAGAGAGCGGGGGAGGGGGCGGCTCTGGCCTGAGGGTCGCCCCTGGCGCGGGCCGCGCTGTCCCCACCCCCACCCCAGCGGCCAGGCGCGGGGGCGGCGGGACCTGCTAGGCGCCTGCTCCTCCGCGTGGCTCCATCCGCGCCGGGGGTGCCCGCTGCGCTCCCGGCCGCGTGGGAACAGCCTCTGCTGCGGGTCCCCAGTGGAATCAGGGTTTTGGAGGATTTTCCCCCAGATTCTTCTGGAAACACGAGTCAGGAGAGCTGAGGGGCTGAGGTCAGGAAGCTTGGCAGGTCCCTGGGGTGGAGATGAGGGGGTGAGGTGGGGAGCCGAATGGGCTCCTGATTTCAGGGTCATCGAAGTAGGCGGGGGGATGGGGGGTGGATTTCGGAGAGTTATTGACGCGACTGCGGGGAGGGTGGAGGGGGAGGGTGGGAGATGAAATGGGGAGGAGCTTCAAAGGCTCGGTTCAGGTAGGGCCTCACCCCTGGGGAACAGGTGGCTCCTGGGCTCTGGTCTGCAACGTGCTCTTGTGGGGCGCCCGGACTCCGAGTCTGCCAGGGGCTGCTCTCTGACCCCGGGGTGAATCAGGGTGGCTGCCCCCGGCATCCCTTGGTCAGGCTCCAGAACTCCTGAATCCCTGGGCTCCATCCTGGCGCGGCCAGAGCCCCGCTGTCCTCACTCCTCCTCCAGCCCTCCGGCGTGGTGGGGGCGCTGGCGAGGTTTCCTCGTACACATCCAGCCGCTGAGCCTTATTTTTCTTTTTCTAAAAATCGTTTGTGATAGTGCTTGTGTTGGTGAGATGGGTCCTGATCTGGGAAGACTGAGACGCCCTGCGGATTCCCCCGTTCTCCCTGATGTGGGGGAGGATGCGGGTCAGGCTCGAGGGCTGGGGAGCTGGGCTAGGCGGAGTGGAGGAGTCCCCTGGCCTGGGGTTCTGGGCAAGGCCGTGCCCTGCAGGCCCAGAAACTCCCTTCCATTCCTTGGGTGCTCTTTGGGTGCCTGGCTTTGAGGCTGGGGGCCTGGAGAGCTGAGCAGAGGGATGGGGAGGGTCCAGCACACCCGCTGTGTGTCCCCCTGAGGCCCTGAACACAGCCTGAAAGAACCTGGAAGGGGTAGTGGGGGGGGGGTCCTCAGAGGGAGGAGGTAGTTCTCCTAGGCAGAGGGTGGCCATGGGAGGAAGTCACCCTTCCTAGGAGACCTTCTTGTCCTTTCTGTGCTTGCTCAGGAGCACACAGACCCTCAACCAGGCACCCTTTCCCTCAAGCTGATGCTGCCTCTGCTGACACCCCTACACTTTTCTGGGAGGTTCTATGGGTCCTGTAGGGCACAGGGAGGCCCACCCAACTGGGGGCCTCTGGTTCCAGCAGCGACTGTTCATCCTGGCCATTGGCACCCACATCCATACCGGGGAGTGGAGGTCTCAGCTGCCCTGGGGAGGGGCTGAGAGGGGTCCGCACAGCAGAGGCCAGATTCCTCCTGGGCAGCAAGAGCGGGAGCAGCTTCCAGAAGGGAGCCACGTGGTTGCCTGCCCTGCGGTAGAGTTAGGGCCCGGAGTGGGAGTGGGGGAGACATTCGCAGTGGGCAGGGGCCTGGGAGGGGAAGGGAACACACCCCAGGACCTGGGGCCCACCCTCTGGAGCCAGGAAGCTTTCTGCTAGGCCCAGCACACCTTTGTGGAGCCCCCCAGGTGGTGGGTCCAGGGAATGGCCTGGGGGGCCTGTCACAGCCCTGCTGGGGTGTTCTGGGTAGGGGAAGCCAAGCAAGTGCAGGGTGAGCTGTGGCGGGGCAGGCAGCAGAAGGCCCGCACCTCTGCTCAGTGCTGGGTTCCAGGTGGCCATGGTGCCCGCTTGCCGCTTGCTGACAGCGCCTGCCCGAGGCAGTGGGTGTCCCTTCCCTGGCCCCAGGTGCATGCGTCCAAGTTTATTTAAAGCTGCAGCCCCTGGCACCAGTCAGAGGACGCTGAGCTCTCTGCCCGGGAAGGGCCGGGCCATGGGCCCACAGCTGCCTGCGTGACATGGCCTCCACCGCTGCCCTCCCTGTCCCGCTCGGAATCCTTCCCTGGGGAGCAGGGTCTGAGGGCCAAGAGGGGCTCTTGTCCGGGGCTCTGCCCTTTCCGGCCTGGTGGGGCACGCCCGCCGGAAGGCCCACGTGCAGGGTCGGGAGCCACCCGGAGCGGGAGGTCCCCAGCCGGGCGCCCAGCAGGGGAGCGAGGCGCGGCCCCTCGTGCACTGGGCAGCCGTGCGCTCTCCGTGGCGTTCGCGGCGGACGGCTTCCAGACCCGGAGAGCGGCTCCGGGAGTAACCCTTCCGCCGAGCATTTAGAACTCCGACTCTTCCGTCCTCTGGTTTCGGTTGTTTGTTCTCAGTGAGAAGAAAGCATTACAAGCGGACGGTCGGTACCCCAGGGGCGGCCAGCGCCGCGGTGCTGGGGAACTGGCCCACGCGCTGCACTTGGAACCTGCTAAGGGAGCGGGTCTTCGACGTTCTCACGGCGCACGCGCCGCACTGCATACGCGCACGCGCAAGCACACACCTGCGTGCGAGCGCGCATGCTCGTACGCATGCATGCATGCACGCACGCACGCACGCGGCCCTGACCCAGTGAGGCGGCGGACCGGTTGGCTGTGACAGGGTCGTCATCAGCTCTTCGCGCCACGCACCTCGTGCTCCGGGTCGTGCCGCGTGTCCCCGCGAAGCCGGAGGGAGCGCTGGGGAACCCCCGCAGCCGCGGCCGCTGTTTGCCGGTTCCTTCCAGACTCTCCGTTTCCTCTATCCACGGGCGCGCCCGGAGCTGGCGGGTAGGAGCCTCCGGCCGGATTCGTCATCACTTTCCAGAACGCTGGGACCGCGTGTGCACGCGGCTGCGGGCCAAGCGCACCTGTCACCTGTGGCTCCCTGGCCTTCACGCCGTGGCTGCTGGCCTGGGACCCGTGGTGCCGCCCCCCCCCCCCCGCCCCGTGGAGGCCTGGGGGCTCCCGGGTGCCGTGCTCTCCGGTTGCGCGGGAGCTCGGGGCACCCAGGCGCGAGGTCTTCTGCAGGGTTGGTCCTGGGCGGAGGGGCTGCTGGCGGGCCCGTGACTCCGTGTGCGTGCGGCGGCTCCCGGCGCGCTGCCCCTCGGTGCTGGCAGACCTCCGCCGCTGGACAGTCGGTTGGGTAGGGAGGTCTTCGTGTCGGGCTCCCGAGCTGGCCACTTGTGGGGCTCCTCTCTCTCCTTTAAAACGCGGTGATGTCCCCAGAAGAAAGCTCCCACGAGGGCCGGGTTTCAGGAGTTCCGGACGCTCCCCCGGGGTAAGGTGGCCCCGTTGGAGCCACCTCTGACGTGCAGGTCACTTGATTCAAGTTGACCAGGAAGCTGCCCTCCCGTCCCACTTTACAGACCCAGAACCATGGCTCAGGGAGGATGCGCCTTGTGCACCCCACCCCTGCCAGCTCCCCCTGAACTTTGCCAGGCCCAGGGCTGACCTTGGTGTGTCCTTGACTGCATCCTGTGTCCACCGGTCAGACGGGAGCAGGCCCTGCCATGGGGCGCGAGCCCTCACTGGCCATGGGCTTTTCCGCCGGTGAGTGACCTGCTAGGAAGTTAATAGATAAACAGGATATTCAGAGCAAATTGATGGTTGAGTCTCCTGAGTGAGCGAGCGAGCGGCAAAGCCAGGTTGCCAGGGAAGGAAGAGAGGGCTGGGGGGAGGAGTCATCAGCTGTTTGCTGTCTCGCCCCCTCCAGCGAGCGCTTCCCTCCCCAGAGCCTTATGCCAACACTGCCTGCTGCCCCAGCTGCTCCCCCAGACGCCCCCCATCCGCCCAGGGCCCACCCCTCCCTTGCCCTGCTTTTGGCTGGCCCTAGCGCTCGGCCCCTCTGACATGGAGGCAGCCGCCCGCTTGCCTGCGGGCGGGGTGTAGGCCCCTTCGGGGCCGCGTGGGGCTGCACATTCGAGGGAGGGGTGAGCAAACTGGCCCCAGACCTGGAGTCCCATCCTTAGTGGAGGGTGTTTGGGGAAGAAGTCACACACGCGAGGCTGCGGCAGGATGCACGTGAAGGTGACGCTCCTTTAGTTACTACTGAGCGGTATTTTTATACCATAACCTACTTTGCCGGGAGCTAAGAATATACCTCGCGCTTGCTACCTGCACTCTTTCTCTCCTGGTAGCGGTCCCAGCAGTTAAGTGGTGCTTATTACATCAGCGCGCTCCATCCCTGAGATCCACACTGTGACCATTACCAGTTCACGGCACAGGTGGACGGAGGCGCCGAGGAGCTCCATTTGGGGCCAAGGCCGCGTGGACCCGGTTTCAAATCCGGGTAGTGGGCTCCAGCATCTGCCTTCTGCTCCTCGCGGCGGCTCATGCCCCCACTCTGTTCTTTCCACCCGCTGACTCACGGCCTGCTTGTGGTCGACTCTGACCCTCGGCTTTTCGGGACCCGCCTGCCCTCAGCAGGCAGCTCGCCATGCCCGCTGTGCTACCCTGGCCTCCACCCCGTTCCTCTCTGTAAAAGCCTCGTTTCCTTTGGTTGTCCTTCCACGACAGCCAACACTCTGCCCCTGTTTGGACCAGCAAGGCTTGGGATTTTATTGCATTAATTAAGCAAATTGCAAGGACGATATCCTCTCATA